TCTTCCACCCTCGAAGGCGAGGGGCCGTCGTCCGTCGGGGCACCTCCTGGACCCCCTCCTTCTCCCGCTGACCCCTTGTGGGTCTCTAGGCGTGTAAGATTCTCCCCCCCAAATCAATCCCCCCCTGGGGCCTCGAAACCAGAAACTTGTCACCCCCCCCACCCAAGCCTCGCACGACCCCCCGCCGAAATCACCAGGGGTGGGGCCCCTGGAATGCCCCAAGAGTCCGAAAACGGCGGACAAACTCAGGCCCTGTTTTCCTCAGGATCCGCCTCCTCCATGCTGGGAGATGGCAAAAAACGCCCAGACGTTGGGAATTACAAGTGCGTAGTCCGCAAACCTCCAGGGGGCTCCCAAGAGTACAGAGAGCCCCAGGACGACGCGCGACACGCGCGACGCGCAGGGTTACCGCCGTCAGCCCACAGGAAGCTCAGCGCACAGCGCCTCGTAAACCAAGGTAGGGGCGTTTCTTGCCCCGTTGACCATGGCGACTGCAGTAGGAGGAGGACGAGGAGGAGGAGGAGGACGAGGAGGAGGAGGAAGAAGATGAAGTTGAAGATGAAGATGAGGATGAGGATGAGGATGATGATGATGATGATAAGGAGGAGGAGGAGGAGGAGGAGGAGGAGGAGGAGGAGGACCAGGAGGAGGAGGAGGAAAGGGAGGAGGAAAGGGGAGGAGGAGGAGGGAGGAGGAGAGGAGGAAAAGGAAGGAGAAGTGGAAGAGGAGGAGGAGGAGAAGGAGGAGGGGGAGGAGGAGGAGAAGGAGGAGGAGGAGGCGGAGGCGGAGGAGAAGGATGTGATGTTGATGTTGATGTTTGATGTTGATGTTGATGATGATGATGATGATGATGATGATGACGATGATGAGGGAGGAGGAGGAGGAGGAGGAGGAGGAGGAGGAGGAGGATGCTGATGCTGATGCTGCTGATGTTGAGAATGATGATGATCATGAGGAGGTGGGAGGAAGAAGAGGGGGGGGAGGAGGAGAGGAGGAGGAGGAGGAGGAGGAGGAGGACGAGGAGGAGGGGGAGAAGGAGTAGGAGGAGGAGGAAGAGGAGGAGGAGGAGGAGAGGAGAAGGAAGAGGAGAGGAGGAGGAGGAGGAGGAGGAAGAGGAGGAGGAGGAGCCTGCAGGCGCGCCCCCGCGGGCCTTCTTCCCCCCCGTCCGCGCGCGACCGGCGGCCGCGACGACGTCCCCGGTGGTCGCGAAGGGGAACGCGGGGTGCGCGGCGGCCTCGAGGGCGGGCGGGCCCGCGCCAGAGGCCTGGCCCACCAGACTGAGGAGGAGGGGGAGGAGGGGGAGGAGGGGGAGGAGGAGGAGGGAGGAGGAGGAGGAGGAGGAGGAGGAGGAAGGAGGAGGAGGAGGAGGAGGAGGAGGAGGAGGAGGAGGAGGAGGAGGAGCAGGAGGATGGCGATCAGTTCCCCTTGGCAAGAGGCCCGACCACGAGAAGCCTTCCACTTGAAACCCCATCCGGAGACCTCAGGGCGCCCGTGGATATCTGGGGGGGGCACGTCACGCTCCCCACGGCAAGACCATCGAAAGCCAAGAAACTCAGGACACCCTGGAGGCGAGCGGGGTGTTTCTCGGCATGGGCCTCCCCTGTACGTAACACGAAGCCAGGACGAGGATAACATCGGGCGAGCATCGGTGGCTCCAAGATGGGGTCCTGAGGGATGGGGCCCTGTAAGGGCAGGAAGGGATATCCAAAGGTAAAAAATCACGCTGCTTGAGGCACCTCGTGCTTAGGATTCTATCCCTCAGGATCCCAATCTTTGAACCGCTGAGAAGATAAATCGGGAATCTCTGAGCTCCGGCGGCTCTGGAGTATGTCTCGGGCGCCGTGCCCCCCCCCCCCACAGAGCGTTCCGCAACGCTCTGAGAGCATTCCAGAACGCTCTGGAAAGGATTTCCCCAGTCGGGCACCACTCCGAGGGAGGGCTCCACCGCCCAGGGCGGCCCGTGCTCTTGGCTGCGGCATGTTCGTGCGGCGCCGGCGCGCGCAAAGGTTTCCGATACCGCGTCGATCGTTCAACCTTGAACCCATCACGGCCCCGATAGTTCGAGGTTGCTTTCCGTCGGGTCCTGTGGCGCTGCCGTGCCTCTCGATGCTTCTGCATCGTTCTATCATGCGGAACTTAACCTTGAACGACTTCGCCGGCGTCGCCAGTGCGGCATCGCCGCATGAACCTACCGTACACGCCAGGAGCGGCATGTTGATTCATCTCCTTCCTTCGATCGCGGGTCGGCGCCGAGAGCCCTGTCTCCAAGAGGGCGAGCCGAGGAACGAGGGGCCCAAGGGGGCCACGGGCGGAGCGAGGGTCGGCCCAGGACCCAGGGCGAAGCCGAGCGAAAGGGACCGAGCGGCCCCACACGAGGACCGAGAGCACGAGGGCCAGAGGGACCCGTACTGGGCGATGCGGAACGGGGGGGCGATGAGCGGGGGTGGTGGTGGCGCAAAAGCGTGCACCTCTCGTGCCACTCTTGGGCCCCAGGGGGCCC